ATCCTATCTGTGATTTTTGTTTCTATTCCATTTTACTATTGCAAATTAGTTCTTTCCTGATCCTGTCACCTCCCTACTTTGTCTTTTATCCTTCTCTTTTATCATAGTTTTCATGACTTTATCCTTTTCCTCTAAATTTTGCAAGAGTTTCTCCAATTTATTGAGTTTCTCTGTGTTTCCGAATTGATTTTCTATCATTTCATTTCTCTTTGCTGCTTCCAAAGTAGATTTTAATTTCACTATTGGGCTTTTAGAGTTTTTTTTTTAAGTCTCCCCCCTGCCCTGCAACTCTTCTTTTCTTGTATCATGTAGCTTTCCCAGCTTAGCTTTGCCTCCCCTGATGGCTTTCTTCAGAGGCTGTGTAGTTTTAGAATTTTAGAGTTTTTTTTTTTAATCCACCCATGCCCATTTGGTCACATATTATCTATGGCTGTTTTTGAGCTATGGCAACAGAGTTGAATGACTCAGAGTGACTGAAACCATGTGGCCCTCAAAGCCTAAAATATTAACTGTTTGGTACTTTACAGTAAAACATTTGCAGATCTTTGGATTCTCACTTCAGATTTAAGGAGAGTGGGAAGGAAATATACATAGCTCATCTACCTTTTTTTTTTTTTTTTTTTTTTTGACAATATCTCTCTCTGTCGTCTTGGGTAGAGTGCTGTGGCATCAGCCTAGCTCATGGCAACCTCAAATTCCTGGGCTCAAGCAGTCCTCCTCCCTCAGCTTCCCGAGTAGCTGGGACCACAGGTGCTCACCATGGCGCCCAGTTAGTTTTTTTCTATTTTTATTAGAGACAGGGTCTCGCTTTTGCTCAGGCTGGTCTCCAACTCCTGAGGGTTGCAAATGATCCTCCTGAGCTCAAATGATCCTCCTGCCTCGGCCACGCAGAGCGCTGGATTACAGGTGTGAGCCACCTTGGCCAGCATCATTCTTGGTTTCTACCAGCCATTACCTGGATTCCTTCTGCCCTGGAAGGTGGTTCCTTTTGCTCATGCCCACTGCCTAATTTTCTAAGTCTCTGCATGCATGAGTTAGATAAAAATACAAGTTCCTTCTGGTCCCTACCTGCTTCCCTGCCTGTTTCCTGGTCCTTGTCTCTCTGTCATCTTCCTTTTTTTCTGGATCTTTCTGCTCATAATACAAAGAGTTGTGTCCTGAGGTAAAACCTGAACAGGTTTTGCTTATTCCACCACCATCTGCCTTTAATTAATAAAGATTGCTCCCAGATTCCAGCTTGGGGTCATTACGCGTTTTGTTTTTGGCACGAGTGTGAATTTTCAGTTTGTCATTGTCTTCATAGCTCTCTTGGAACAAAACAAGGGGAGGCTGCCAAGTAGATGGCACTTTGAAGAAGGAGTCAGAGCATCCTTTGAAAGCATTGGCTTGTCCATCCTGATGGCATCTCTGTAGCTTTGTGTATATTTGATAAAGGGAGAACATATGTTTGCCTTATCCAGGGGCCACTTGTCTGGTGACGTCAGCTATCTGGTATCCAAACTAAAGAAAGAGTCCACAGGCGGCCAAGTAACTCTCACAGTGTCTGTGTTGTGCACGTCCTTCTTTTTGCCCAGAGGAGAAAGCCTGTGTACCTGTATTTTGTGTATAATTCTAACAAGCCTGGCCTTTCTGTTTTCCTAGCTCGTAGTTACAGTAGAATCACCAAATCTGAAGGGACTAGGGACGTTTTGCAACAAGCACACTGACAAGTTCCAGCCGACAGAAAGGAAAGTCATAGGATATAGAACCCCCCCACCCCCCAAAAAAAAACACATACACAGGTGCGCACAGCTGCTACAAGAGCTCAGCGCTGTCAGCATTTTCCGTGAGGGAAACTTCTTCAGATTCTCTATGTGAGCACTCTACAGGTGCAGTCAACAGCCTCCGATCCGGGCCTTTTCTCTGCTACACTGGGTGCTCTGGGCAAGTTGTGGGTGCAGAGATCGTCCACATCTCCTGGCTGGTTCAGGCAGGTTCTAACCTTGACCAACGCACATAAGAATCATCTGGGAAGCACAAAAATCCAGGCACTCGGGCCATTCTCTCAACTGAAGGCTATCAGAAGCTCGTGGGGGTGGGCCCCAAGCATCCCAGTCTTTTAAACTTTCCAGGTGATTCCACTGTGTAGTCAGGGCTGGGAACCAGAGGGCAAAGAGCAGGGCTCCTGTAGCCAGATAGTCTCATTAATTAGCCATGAGACCTGGGGTCAGGGCTGAGTCAGCAACGTCTCACTCACTGGTGTTTTCATCTGTAAAGTGGGGCCGGATTGGAAGAGTTGAGAGGCGCTCCCAAGCCATGAACAGTGCCGGACATGTTGCACTGTTCTCATACACTGTCCTCACTTGCTAGTGCCACATGAGTCACCACTGTTATCGAGGTACAGACTCTTAGTATTCATGGTGACGACTGATTTGTCAAGCAGGGTCTGGGGGCTCCATCTAATTAGGCAGTGATGGATGCTGCACGTTCTAGGATAATTTCTGTCCCAGACAGCTACATGGCTCTGGATAGAAGGACTGCAGAGCTTAATAGGCTGGGACCCTGGTGCTGAAGGCACAGGGGCAGGTTGTTCTAGGACTCTTCTGCCCTTCTGACCACTCTGGAACCTTTTTGGGCTCTCGTTTTTAAAGCTGAACACAGGGGTTCCACCTGCTCCCCACCCCCCACAAGGCTTTTGTGAGGCTGGAACTGCTGACGTATTCAAAGACACCCTCTCCACTCAACCAAGGCTGCGTCTGAGCCATGGGAGGAGGCAAGCTGAAAGTGATTTCCTCCTAAGTGGGCTGGAGGATTTCATTAAAAAACAAGAAGGCAAGAAGAGAGGATTCAGGCTGTCCCTGCAGCAGTGTCACTCAGCATCCCTTGCATTCCAATTTGCTTCCCTAAGTGGAGAGAGCAGGGAGGGATTCTAGCCTGCTCACATGGGAATGCCAGGACTTACGCACAGCCTAGGTTCAGCCATGGCTATGGCTTTACTTGTGAGCATCATCTGTCTGTGAGCTGGCAGAGATGTGGCCAGAGTGGCCATTCCCAATGGGAGGTGTGGTGTTGCTGATGATGGTAATGAAGGTGTCATGACTTGTGTGTCTGGGCTGCCATCACCTCTCACCTTAACCTCAACCTTGGGCACAGTAGAGTGAGAGTCACTTTCTCTGGACAACCTAGTCCCTGCAGCCCCAAGAGGTCCCTACTCTAATAACCAACCAACCATCCAGCTTGTGGGAAAGACCAGTACTGTGGCCTGCAGTGCTGCCAAGCAGGGGCATTTTAAGGGCTCGGATCATAGTGGAACAGAAAGGGGTTGTTTTTTCTCCATTTTCTGAGACTGGCTTCTAACTGGAGGCCCTAAGGGGCTGGCACAGGAGGCAGTAGGGGGCTGTTGGCGTGGCTACCAGAGTAGTGGGATGGAGCTAGTCGACTTTAATCGAAGTACCAGTTAGTGCATCCTGGGACTTCAAAGGAAGCTACAGCCAGAGGCTGGCTCTGTGGAGGTTTCTGAATATTTCCTGCAAATCTGAGCCCCAGGCTGGGATGCTGGTGTCACTGAGAGGCCTGCCTTTCTGCCTGGGCTTTGCCCTGTACTTCCACACAAACCACTTCTTACTTCATTTCACCTTGGCCTTGGTTTTCCTCTCTGCAGGATGGGATGTTGCCACTGTTCCTGGGTGGTCACCTTTGTGTATGCACATGTGTGTTGAACTTTATATTCCTTATCATCCTCTCCCCACCCCTCACTGGGACACACACCCAGCCCATTCCACCATTGCTCCCAGAACAGGCTGGACCCCCTGTAGCACCCAGGCCGGCCTGGCTGGGCTTCCCTGCTGCTGCCCCCCACTCTCAATCTGGGAGTTGCTGAAATACTGGACATTTCTCATCCCTAGCTCTGAGATGGATCTGTTGGTGTTCAGAGAAACAGAGAGTGGCCTAACCAAGAGTTCAGGGATCATGATATCTTAGACCCAAGTTCACAGCAGAGTTGTAGCAAAACCTACCTGTATTGCACTGTGCAGGCAGTTTAGTCTCTTTGGGCCTCAGTTTTCTTGTCTACAGAATGGGAATAACACTTGTACCACAAAGAATGGTAGTGAGAGCTAAATGAGCTCCATCCTGTTGGGTGGTAGAGGTAGGGCAGACTAGGGGAGATTTGCAATTTTGGGGCCTCTAAGATGATCTGGGTCATCACACATAGGCCTAGCAAAGGAATGGTATCACCTGTCCAAAGAACAGAACTTTTTGGCAGAGAAGACCATGGCAAGTTAAGGTGGGAGGTTCTATTTAGGAAGTTGACACAGGCTACCCCTACGAGAACAGGCCCAATGGCTGGCAGGTCCTGATGCCCCACACATCCTGTCTCACTCTTCCTCAGGTCCTAGAAGCCCTCAAAGTGCTACCCGGCGGACACAGGCCCGGAAGCCCTGCCTCTTAGCAGTAGGGCCTATTAGAACTAAACTCGTCTTCGTGGGGTATTTTATTTGCACACTCCAGTAGAGTGGACACCAAAGGGGTTTTCTAATGCTTCATGGGCTGCTAATTTCCTCTGTGACCTCTTTTGTTGGGGCCTGACCCCAGCCAGAGACTCCACGCCATGAAAGCCAGTGCCTGACACAGACCCAGGGCACGGGGTGACAATGAGGCCTCTATCGGCTTTAATGAGGCTCCATTTGCATCTTAAGAACAGGGAGAATCTGTGTGGTGCTCAGAATCCTTGGGTGGCACAATACGGGAGCCCCCAGAGTCTCTCACGGAGGCCAAGGTGGCTACAGGCAGCAGCTAAAGGATTTGTCAGCTGGGGAAGGGGGTGGGTGGGTCAGGCGGGGGCCCTTTGTCCCAGGGCCTCTTTAGAAGGCTGGGCCTGCCCTGGATGGCCGCCCGCCCGGCCTGGCCCATGGGATCACAGGCTGCTGGGTGTTTGGGGAGGTGGCCTCCCACTCTGCCCTCCAGTCTATTCATCGCCAGCCTAATTAGTTTTTGTCTATGCTCTCCTCACCCCCCTGCAGACTGTGATTCCTACTGCAAGGCCTCCAAAGGGAAGCTGAAGATTAACATGAAAAAGTACTGCAAGAAGGACTATGGTGAGTGAGGGTCCCCTTATCTGGGGAGGAGGGGAGGACAACATGACCAGTGAGGAGCTGGGTTTGGGGTGTAGATGGCTCCAGGAGGGTGTTGGTCATGAAGTTCTTGCGACCAATGGGAACCTAGTTGAATAGATCCCATATCCAGGAATTTCTCATCTCTTCTACTTTGGCCTTCAGAGATGGGGGTAAGGAGCCCCAGTGGCCCGAGTTGTCCCTCTGCCCTGCAGATGGGCACCCACACCAGTGGGGCCCACCTTCCCAGACTGGCCTCTAACTTCACTGTGCTTCGGAGGCACTGTGTGGCTACAGACAGGTCACTTTAGCTCTCCAGTCTTCCGTGTCTTTATCCGTGCCATGGGCATTCAATCTGGGTCTACGTTTCTCAAAGTGAAGCCCTCTAGGCACAAGAAAGGGAGAAGGAACTCTCTGGTGTGTTTCGCATGTCCCACCAGGCTGTGGTGGGGCTGGGAAGCCTGTGTTTTAAGGGCTCCCTGGTAATTCTGATGCATCTGACGTTTAAATGCAGTGTAAAGGGGATTCTTCAGCCAGGACCTATGGGACAGACAACCCTGGGAGCCACCTCAGAGATTGCCTATTGGCTATGTCCTTAGAGGGGCCTCCTTTCTTGTCCCCCTATTCTCACTGTGCCCTGGGAACAGCAGGGTTCTCTTGATATCCTCATGCCAACTGGCCCTGTGGGCAGTGAGGAGTCACTATGTGGTTACTGGTCCCTGTGTCTTTGCTGGTTGGAGGCTTGGGCTGGCTGGACACTACCTGATGCAGGGTCAAGGCCTGACTGTGGTCACTGTGGGTGGGAGGCAGTCAAGAATCCTATCCAGGAGGGGGCCTAGGGCGACCAGTGAGTAATGTGTACAAGGAGCTGGGGGGCAGACTGCACAATGAGAGATGAAAACACAAGTCCCCAGAGAATCATCCAGTTGACCATTGGCAGGGCAAAGTCCCTGAGTACAGACAAGGGCATCCATATAGGTGTCTATGGCCCCCACCATAGGCCAAGAAGGAGCCCCAGGCCCAGGGCTTCTGAACACAGGCCTGGTTCTTCCAGCATGGGGCCTCTTCCTGATCTTGTAGCTGGGCTGATCAGGCCTGGGGCTAGGCTGCCTCTTCCCGGCCTGTCAGTCCACGTCTGCCCACCATCCACCTTCCTCTGTCGTCCTCCCCACTCTACCTAGATAGGGCCCCTTCTTGTTCATCCCTGTCCAACTGGCCCCAGGAGGTGCCTCCCTGTTCCAGGCCTCCATGGCCCTGCTGGCCCTACACCTGGCCTCCTCTGGGAAGGCAGAGAGACCTGTCTCTGCTGTCCAGCTTCCTGAGGCTGTCCTGGTCACACTCCTCTTGGGGGCCCAGGGGTGAGTCCCATTGCTTATCTGAACCTCAGTTTCTGTAAAATGGAGATGATCCACTTACTACATGGATGGGAGACTGGTGGGGGAAAGGGAGGGGAGAAGAAAGGGTGATGGGAGAAGTGGGGTGAGAGGGAGAGCTGCTGTGGAGGTGGCCTCACAGTCCAGATCCCAGGCTCCATCTCTTCCCTGGCCCCAAGGTGTCTGACAGGCCTCATAGGATCCTTGCTGGGCCAGCTGCTAGAACCAGATTTAAGGTTTTTTCTTTTATAAGGACAATGGGTAGGACCTTTCAACATAATGAAATGAATAATAAGGCCTAAATGAGCCCAGTGGAATGCTTAGAACTTTTTAAATGTTCTTGTTTTACCCGTGTCCACCTGTGTGAGAGTGTGTATGAGTATATGTACATGTAAGAGTGTGTGTGTGAATATGTGAGTATAAGAGAGTGTGTGTGTGTTCGTAAGAGAGTGTGAGTGAGGGTGACTGCATGCATACACATGCGCCCCCACACCGGAGCCCTGGAGGGTGCAGCAAGAGTGCCTGGCAGGTTTTATGCGTCATTTCAGAAGTTGCTGGGCTGTGGGCATTGATGTTCACAGCCCTTCTGGGGTCCACAGAAAATTCCTAAAAGCCTCTTTAAAGCGCACATGTCCCAAGGCATGGCAGAAACTCCCAAGGGAAAATAAACCTGGATTTTGAACACAAGTGCTATCTCAGAGCTAGGGTGACAACCTCAAGGAGGGACCCCAGAATGTTTTGAAAGAAGTTCCTGTGGTCCCCAGCCACAAGGAATATGTCCTCCTAGCCCTGGGTCTCCAGTGTCTGCCAGGGACTTTGAGGCAGGGGCCCTATCCCTTTCACTGCCCTCCTGTGGGATAAGGACTCAGTCTGCGGACATGAGCACCTGGCTCCCAGCTAAGCAGTGGGTCAGGAGTTGCAGAGGTCACATGCATCTCTCCTCCTCCTCCTCCTTTCCTGCACAAGGCCTTAGGTCACCTGGCAGGGAGCTGGGAGGGAAGAGGAAGATGTGGGCCTGCTGGGGGAGGGATGATTTTGTTGGTTTGGTTTGGTTTTAGTTGGAACCTTAGGTGGCCATCCTGTGAAACAGGGTTGAGGCAAGGCGAACTAAGCAGTGTTTCTGCACAGCGCTGTCCTTCAGCCTCTGTTCTGTAAGAAACACTCACACATATTCACACTCTTAGACTCACACAGAAACTGCAAGAAAATGGAAAACACTGGACTTGTAGTAGTTACTGACACAGATCCTATTTTCCACCTAATTCTGCTGGACTCAGATTCCCTCCATTGAATTCTGCGCTTGCCCCCTCCACTCCCCTCCACTCCCCGTCTGGGTATTCCAGGGGCACTGTGGCTCTTCAGAGCTCTCCTTGCTGTCACCCCTGGGAGGTAGACCCCCCTACCTGCTGAACCGGACACCCGCCTTTTATAGACTCAGAGGAGCCCCTGAACCCTGTGTCTTAGTGGGCCCCTTCGGATAGCAGTGGCATCTCTCTCAGGGCAAGGAGGGCTGGAGCACAGCTCTGAGTGCCATCCGGCTCTCTGTTCCTGGTTTGAGCCTTGCCTTGGCTCCCACATCTGACTTCTTGTATGTGATCAGGGCCAAGCAGGTGTCAGGGATGGTGGACTTTAGCTCCCTTGGGTCATGGATGGGGACACAGGCTGGCTGAGTGAGGTGACTTCCTCAGCCTCCAGCTCCTCCCAAGGTGGCCCTCTCTGGGCTTTTCCTTCCCTGTCTCCATCTCCCAGCCTGGCCAGCCCATCTTGCCCACCTTGCCCACCTCATGCCCCCACACTTACTGCCCCAGCACCCACTGTCTGTGTTTCTGCTGTGGGCAGAACTTGAGCAGCCAGTAGCATGGGCAAAGTGACCCTAGGGAGCTGATGGGAGCTGGAGCTGGGGTGCCACCAGCTTTCATGTCCTCCTAATATACCCCCAACTGCACAGTTAGGGCTGCCACTGCCCCTTCCTATTCCCCAATGCCTAGGAGGATGGCATTTCTGGTTTTAGGACTCATTGGTTGGTACTCTTGGGGTTACTTAAAAGTTGGGGTATAGTCCAGCTCAGCCTGTGTGTCCAGGCAGAAGGCAGGACAAGTGTCTAAAAGGGGGTCACAGAGGCTTTTGGACTGGAGGCAGGGCCTCAGGGAGTGTGGCTTGGCCAGAAAGGAGTAAGGAGCCCCGGGGGGATTGTGGGTGCTACAGGAAGGAGCCCTTTGGTGCAGGGGCCTTGCCCCAAGGCTGGGGTGTGGGGTAGAGATCTCTGGGCTCTGCTGGGCCTCATGGAGAATTTCCTGGGTGTCATTTGTTTGGCCCCTGGATGAAGTGTGTTTGGGTGTATTGTGGGCCAGCTCTGCTGCAGGTGACCAGCATGGGTACAGGAGGGAGCTGGCCTGGGTATGAGAGCAGGGAGGCGGCCAGGCCAGGCCGGGAGGGCTGGGAAGGGCTCAGCTCAAGGCTGCATAATCCCTGCTCTCTGACTGACACCCCGGCAGGGGGCCAATTAGGAAACACATTTCCTTCACTCAGGGCACTTGGATGTTCCAGAAGCCGTTAATTAGAACCTCAGGATTGCCACCCCTGCTGGGTGAAGAGCAGGCTGCCAGCAGCCCCAACCCCATCCTCCTTCTGGGGCCTTGGGCTCAGGAGAGGCTCAATGTCGCACTGTTGGGGTCTGAGCCCCACTGACCATGGGTAGTTGCTGATGGATGGAGGCAGGGGTGCAGTGACCTGGGGGTGCTGGCCCTGTCCCGTGTTCTCTCAGGCATGTTTACCATCACGAGGGCCCAGCTTAGGTAAGGTAGAGGAGGGGTGGCCTGTGCTAAGGCCCGGCCGTCCCCCTATGACCAGGAATGGTGGCCCCATTACCTTCCTGTCGAAGGGAGAGGACCTATGGCCCCCATGTCCACAGATTCCTAATTTGCTGTGTGACTTTAGTCGGCCGCATGGGCCTCAGTCTCCTCATCTGTCTAATGGAGGTGTCATCTAGGGGACATGATACTGTTGTGAGACACTGATCATGGTCCCACCATGCCAGGTGCTGTTAATAAGGGGCAGGGGCCAGTGGCGAGGCTGTCATCCACCTGGCCTACCTCTCCCAGGGCCACCTCAGTCCTCTGATGCCCTCTAGGGGAACCCAGCTCATCTTACAGATGCTTGAAAAAGAGTCTGGGCGTGGAGTGGTTGCTCCCACAAGACAGGTGTTGTTATTTTCAGGCATATTAGTGATTGCTGCCAACTTCTCAGGAAAACCCTGCTTTGGAGGGGCCCTTCCTTTGTGTAGGTGCCCTGAGCAAATGTGTGTGTGTGTGTGTGTGTGTGTGTGTGTGAGAGAGAGAGTATGTGTGTATGGTCACCACAGCGTTTGCATCCGTTGGGCCAGCTTGGATACTGGCAGAGCCCATCAATGCTGACTTACCCGTGCTGTGGCATGTTACCTAGAAGCACGGGCCCCAGATACTGCTGCCAGCAGAACATTCCAGCCCAGCCGTACCGCTGCACCAGGCTTCCCAGGCACTGCCCCATGGCCCCCTTGCTTTCCCTTACCTCTCACCTTCCTGCCTGCTTCTCATCTTGTCCCCGTGTTGCTCCCTTGTCCAGTCCTCACTCATC